TGTGTCCTCCCCTTGTCTCCTTTCTTACATCTGCACTGAGCAGGTTCATGCTTTGCCTCATAGAACAATACTGCACACACTTCTGCAATGTTTATGTTTCCTTACACTCTTAGAAAAAAAGGGTTCCAAAATGATTATTTGCGGAGGGATAGGGTTCTACCAAGAATTGTTTTCATCTGAATAATCATTTTTGGAAGACGAGGCCCAGCAAACATGTCTACATTGGTATGATATGGACCCAATGCAGATTCAAATATTTTCCCCATGTAGGCTGCCAACATTGGGCCAATATGCCTTTGCTCATCGGCCCAACATTGGCCCCAATGCAGGTGGCCCCAAGTGCAGCCCTCACTTCGCCTGAAGTAAGCTAACCCTTTTGGATCCACTGCCGATTACATTGTATCAGAAAGACAACAAAGTTGTTACTATCACGCCCCAAAATATTTGTGTAGGCTATCCCCCGCCCCGCTTGCCCCCCAAATACCCACATGGGGTCAATGTGGTCATGTTTGCTGGGGGTTTCTTTGTAAGGCAAAGGGTTCTACCTAGAACCTTAAACATCCTTTTTGGAAGAATGGGTTCTTTGATGATTCTTTGGAAGGCGAGAAGGATTCTTTGGAAGGCAAGAAGAGTTCTACATAGAACCCTTCTGAATTTGAATACGTTTTTAAATAGTGCATGAGCATTAGAGTTTACCTCAGTTTTTTAAACTGTAACATCAGGAGTGTGAGCAATCTGATAAGTTAAAAAAGTTAGGTGTGAGAATGTTTTAAACTGTACCTATATGGGAATATTTGTGCATGTATCTGGTATTCCCTTAATCATTTTACATATACAGTACTGACATAGTTGATATCTTTGCCATGATTTCTGTCTTTCAAATGAGTATTTTCTGTGATTTTATTGAGCAGAGAGTAGGAGAATAGAAGGGAGTATGAGTGAACCGGCAGTGTATTGTATGGTACTCAGCAAATTGGCCAGTTTTACCTAGTGTTGATTTTTCAGTGTAATATTTTTAGTGTTGAGTTAAATTAACAACACTTAGTGGTGTAAAATAACCCCACTGTTGGTTTTTAATAACCAGAGTTGAGTGTGATTGTGCCATTTTTACTCTGTGTAGCGTAAAACACTGAAAACCACACCCATCTTATTTCCCAGCATGCTCTATTGCAGGTTGAGTTTCAGAATTGTTTGTTTCAATATCTGTGTTTTTGTACGTACATATATTGGTTGATTAACCTTATTCTACACAAGATAAATAACATACATATTTCTAAAATAATCCAAACTCTTAGTAGTTGGACTTATTGCACCCGTTACTGAGATAGTTGTTCCAGTTTAGATGATTTAGGTAGTCTCATGAACAAATAGTTTATACCCTGGCAGTCATTCAGAATGCAGGTTGTGAGTGATTAAAAGTTTCAATTGTTTGGATAACCTCACTCTGGCTGGATTCCAATAGGAATTATACCTCACTTTGCAAGCCAGCATAATGTGACTTGCAGGGCTGGGGTTTATTCATGAGTGTAATGTGACTTTCAGTGCTGTTGCAAAATGTTTATTAAACGGAAGCAAATGAAATGAAACGGGGAGGAACCTTCAAATGGATTCTTAAATGGTTTCCGTAATGAATACTCCCCTGATGTGGCCTGTAAACCAGGGCCTTTTCTCATTTTGGAAAAGTCTGTCCTCCACCCTTCTCCTTTGTGACCCGGGACCAAAATACTTATTTTCCACCATAATTTGCAAATAAATCATAAAAAATCCTACAATGTGGATTTTCTGGATTTTTTCCTCAATTTGTCTGTCATAGTGACGTGTTACCTATGATGAAAATTTACAGGCCTCTCTCACCTTTTAAGTGGGAGAACTTGCACAATTGGTGGCTGACTAAATACTTTTTTTCCCCACTGTACTTTTTTTCAATATACAAAATACAATTTTCTTATAGCCAGTTCACAATTTTGTGGCCCACTTTCACCCTGCCTTGGTATCAGGAGTCTGATGGCACTATGGCGTGATAAAAGTGTCTGCTAAATGAACTAAATATAAATGTATATGTAAAAATGAACAACTTGCAAGGTATTTTTCAAATGAGCTCCGCCCTCAAAGCAAGGCCAGTAATAATACCCAGGTGTGCTTTGCAGTTCATTTTGGCATGTTCATTTTACATAAACATACGTTTACATTTTGGTCATTTAGCAGGCAGTCTTATCCAGAGTGATATAGTTTGATATATTGATCTTTATGGTATTTTGTAATTGTATTTTGTAATTGTGTTTTATAATTTTTGGCCATCCCTGCCTATCTGTTTAGCCACATGATGGCGTCCTTCTTTCTACACTGTGCACAGATCCATGCATAAATTGATTGGCTACTTCAAACATGGGGTTAAGTAAACTACCTAGTTTCCTCTTTGTAACATGCTGTAACACAGTATGGGTTTGTTTACATCTCATCCTTGACAGATGCACAGGCTAAAGCATATACAAGTGAGCCATATGTACAAAGTGTTTATTCTGGTATATATTTTTAATCGTTCATCCTGAAATATTTGGAAGTTAAATTTGGAAGTGAAAGCACACATACACTGTACATCCAAGTGTGCTCTAAAGTAGTGTACACACAGCCACACACACACGCACGCACACATGCAAACACACACACACACACACACAAACACACACACTATCTGCATTTAAAGTTATAGGCAACCCCTATTGGCACACCATTCCACTGCAAATTGGTCTCCACAGCATTCTAGCATCCTGGTCTTGATGGATCACTTTACCCTGAGAATGACCCGGTAGTTGAGTTAATTATGTTTCTGTGGTGACTAAGGGCCAGATTAAGTCACACCTCTGACCCTGTTGCCAATCACAATTATCCCTTCCTGGCACTGATAACCCTCGCCGGATGAGACCTGGGGCTCCCAACACAGACCGGGGTTAATGGGTGAGCAGCATGGAGAGGGAGTCACCACCGGTGTGTGTGTGTGTGTGTGTGTGTGTGTGTGTGTGTGTGTGTGTGTGTGTGTGTGTGTGTGTGTGTGTGCGGTTGATGGGTGAGCAGCAAGAGGTTGATTAAAGGTCAGAGGTCACCTGATTGAATAACTCAGGAAGTGAGGGGGATGCTGTGCTGTGATTGGATGGTTGATCAGTATTCATATATTTCATGCATGGCTAATGAATGCAACACGTCCACGGAGGTAGGGTGATAAAAAAATGTACAATTAATGAGAAATGAATAAGAAATAACATGGGGTCTGGTGGTTTCCAGTGGGGGGTCTAATAAGTATTAGAATAAAAACCATTACTCCAAAATGCCCTCTTAAGTGATTGTCTAGACTGCTTTATTAGCTTTTTTCTCAACATTGGGTGCATCTCAATACTCAAAATGTGTGTCCTCCCCTTGTCTCCTTTCTTACATCTGCACTGAGCAGGTTCATGCTTTGCCTCATAGAACAATACTGCACACACTTCTGCAATGTTTATGTTTCCTTACACTCTTAGAAAAAAAGGGTTCCAAAATGATTATTTGCGGAGGGATAGGGTTCTACCAAGAATTGTTTTCATCTGAATAATCATTTTTGGAAGACGAGGCCCAGCAAACATGTCTACATTGGTATGATATGGACCCAATGCAGATTCAAATATTTTCCCCATGTAGGCTGCCAACATTGGGCCAATATGCCTTTGCTCATCGGCCCAACATTGGCCCCAATGCAGGTGGCCCCAAGTGCAGCCCTCACTTCGCCTGAAGTAAGCTAACCCTTTTGGATCCACTGCCGATTACATTGTATCAGAAAGACAACAAAGTTGTTACTATCACGCCCCAAAATATTTGTGTAGGCTATCCCCCGCCCCGCTTGCCCCCCAAATACCCACATGGGGTCAATGTGGTCATGTTTGCTGGGGGTTTCTTTGTAAGGCAAAGGGTTCTACCTAGAACCTTAAACATCCTTTTTGGAAGAATGGGTTCTTTGATGATTCTTTGGAAGGCGAGAAGGATTCTTTGGAAGGCAAGAAGAGTTCTACATAGAACCCTTCTGAATTTGAATACGTTTTTAAATAGTGCATGAGCATTAGAGTTTACCTCAGTTTTTAAACTGTAACATCAGGAGTGTGAGCAATCTGATAAGTTAAAAAAGTTAGGTGTGAGAATGTTTTAAACTGTACCTATATGGGAATATTTGTGCATGTATCTGGTATTCCCTTAATCATTTTACATATACAGTACTGACATAGTTGATATCTTTGCCATGATTTCTGTCTTTCAAATGAGTATTTTCTGTGATTTTATTGAGCAGAGAGTAGGAGAATAGAAGGGAGTATGAGTGAACCGGCAGTGTATTGTATGGTACTCAGCAAATTGGCCAGTTTTACCTAGTGTTGATTTTTCAGTGTAATATTTTTAGTGTTGAGTTAAATTAACAACACTTAGTGGTGTAAAATAACCCCACTGTTGGTTTTAATAACCAGAGTTGAGTGTGATTGTGCCATTTTTACTCTGTGTAGCGTAAAACACTGAAAACCACACCCATCTTATTTCCCAGCATGCTCTATTGCAGGTTGAGTTTCAGAATTGTTTGTTTCAATATCTGTGTTTTTGTACGTACATATATTGGTTGATTAACCTTATTCTACACAAGATAAATAACATACATATTTCTAAAATAATCCAAACTCTTAGTAGTTGGACTTATTGCACCCGTTACTGAGATAGTTGTTCCAGTTTAGATGATTTAGGTAGTCTCATGAACAAATAGTTTATACCCTGGCAGTCATTCAGAATGCAGGTTGTGAGTGATTAAAAGTTTCAATTGTTTGGATAACCTCACTCTGGCTGGATTCCAATAGGAATTATACCTCACTTTGCAAGCCAGCATAATGTGACTTGCAGGGCTGGGGTTTATTCATGAGTGTAATGTGACTTTCAGTGCTGTTGCAAAATGTTTATTAAACGGAAGCAAATGAAATGAAACGGGGAGGAACCTTCAAATGGATTCTTAAATGGTTTCCGTAATGAATACTCCCCTGATGTGGCCTGTAAACCAGGGCCTTTTCTCATTTTGGAAAAAGTCTGTCCTCCACCCTCTCTCCTTTGTGACCCGGAAACCGATAAGTGGTTGAGTGGTCGAGGAGATGTCAATTCGTTAGTAGGCGAATGGAAGAGTGTCTTCCCCTCCTCGATAGCCACCTTTCATCGAAGATAGTCATATGTGTCGCGGAAGAGTTTTGAAACCTGTCACAACCCTTTGAATAAGTGATGGGGAAACTAAGCTTCCTGAAGCATTGAGGCTTTCCAGCCACTTGTGTCGAAAATAGGTTAATTACTCAAGGCTTTGATCAACACAGTGTACACTAGTGGAACCTGCTGGTCAACATTTCTTTGAGCTGCCAAATTATTATAGATGACGTCCCACACACCAGAGAGCATGCACCGCGTAGCCTACTGAAACCAATACCAAACCAATCAGGTGGTTGTTTGATGAAACTGAGCTTCGGACATCATTGTTCACGTGCTTCTGATAAAGTGATACAGGCATCGGCACACCGCTTCGAAGTACACTGCTTAGCTATTTCGACTCATTCCTCTGAGCTCCAGTATCAAATGTAACATCGCTACTTTGAATCAGCTTTTGTTTTGGCGGAGGAGAAAAGCATGCCCACGTTTAAAAACAATATGCTACTTATCGGTTTATCTATAAAATGTCTTCACAACTAACTTAATTTGTTTTCATCACTTTACACATTTCTTTTGGGATCCACCCCTCTAAGCAGAATCTGCCTGATGATGCACGAGTGGAGGAGAGTCTCATTTCCTATAAGCACATTTTCATCCACGTTCCATCTCCCCACCGCCTCTCCTCGATTACCTTTGACCTTTTTCAAAAGGAGGCGAGAGAGGACGGAGGAGAGAGGACGCTGGAGTTGAGAAAATTAGAAAAGTCCCAGGAGTTTCCTAACACCACTGTGTTAAGCCTGTCGCATGCTTCCCAGTCAAAAAAGTTTGCATATATTATGACAACTTTTGTGACCTTTTTGTTCGTTTTGGTGTTCGGCTGTTTTTTTTTCCGCTGTTCAAGCACACACATTTTTTTCTTGAGGCAAGTCGAAGTTTGGTAGTCCCTTCATTGTTGATTGGTCAACAGTACTACTCCTAGTAGGAGAGGGAACTATGGATGGGATTCTTCAATGAAGTGTTTGTTTTCATTGAACGAGAGATGACTAGTTAATTTTTTCACTTGAGAAATACTGCACCAAACATCTTAGTTAGATGTAAAAATGCGCGGCTAAGACCTCCTTGGTAAAAACATCTAAATTAATGACAGATTTCATGATTTATCATAGATTAATTCAGACTATTTTGAGGAGGTGTATACTGGCTATGTTGTTGCTACGGCGTCTCAAATATTGCCGCTTTTGTCTCGTGTTTCAAGCGAAGGTCTTTTAAGGAAGTATGCGAGGCACAGACGTTCACGTCGCCTAGCCGAGTTCTGCTAGGAGCAAACCAAAACTAGTATGCAGGCACCTTTAGGGTATAACCAGGCCCTCAAAGAAAGGCCTTATGACATGCTGTATGTAATGTATTGTCATAAAGAGTAACATGTTGTTAATAATGTTGGTAGAACTGTTCATAGACGGTTCTAGGAAGAACCTTTAGAGAATTAAAGTGTTCTTGGTAGAACCCTTTATAGATGGTTCTAGGCAGAACCCTTCATAGAGGGTTCTAGGTAGAACTACGCACAGGGGTTATATGAAGAACCCTACAGGTTCTAAATAGAACCCTCTCTGCAAAGGTTTCTACTTCGTACCAAAAAGTGTTCCCCTATGGGGAAACCGAAGAACCATATATGGTTCTACTTAGCACAATTTTTTCCTAAGAGTGTATGTTCTGCCACTCTGACATAATGTCCTGTCTATGTGATGTCACTTCCAGGTCAGCTGGCAGCGGGGACATGTGAGATTGTGATGCTGGACAGGGACAGCAGTCAGCCCAGACGTACCATCGCCAGACAGACTGCACGGTGCGCCTGTAAGAAGGGACAGATCGCTGGGACGACAAGAGCCATGCCAGCCTGTGTGGACGGTAAGAGCTTTTACATAGTTTAGAACAAGTGAAGTGATCCTTTACTGTATGTGGTCAAGTATGTGGGTATACAGGTGGTGTGTAGACCAGAGTTGGACATATTAGCCACTGAAATAGGCCTATCCTATCACTGATACTGAAGATACATTGCAGATTGAAACGTTCAAATTAACCAGTACATTTTCCAAGCATATAGTAAGGGTTGTGATTGCATTGTTTTTGTCAGAAAGACTGCTGGAAGAGCTGAGTGATGTCATGTCAGTGAATCATTTCTTATACTTTATGCTTCACATTATCTGATGCTTTGGCATGGATACGTCCGTGAAATCTCTCTTATGTTCTTGTGGTTGTCAAGTTACCTTTGACGTTCCTTTTGTCAGCAGTGACAATATGCCGTGAATTTAACACATTTTTCCTATTCCCCCCAAGCCAATGCTATTGCTATTTCTCTGATGCCCTCTATGTGTGTGTGTGTGTGTATGTGTGTCTAATAGTGAGTAGGAGGACCTGACATCATGACATGTAATCCCCCACCACATACACCTCACCCCGAGCACACTGCGTTGACACAGGGGTTTGATATTTGTGTCATGGCCTGTGTGTCTGGTTCCCCTCTCTCTATTTCTTCCTGGATCACACACAAGGAGCAGCCAGTCCACTTGAAGATAATAGGACAGAGAATAAAAGAAAATAAACAAATTAGATTTTTTATTGAGTTCTCAAGGTCTGGGCCAGTATTGTAATATCCCACATTTAAACGGATATAATCTGAGTCTTTCCGTCCAACACAATCTCTGTCCTTAATTCGTCAATCCTCAATCTCTACTCCTGACGGTCACCTCTTGAGAAGGATAATCCAAATAAAAGCCATCACAACCAATGCAGCCTAATTCTGTAATTGAATCCTGATAGAAATTCTGCAAGATGATCTACCCAATGAGTAATCTGCAACATAATGAATCCTGAGAATAATATATAATCTGTTTACTCTATGTATTGCCATTACAATATAGTTATTCTGCTGGTTGAGTGCTACACATATCTCAGAAGCAGTTTGTTCAAGTGGAGTACAGGATACATTTCATCTTCTCAACTGCCCCATTTCATGTCATATCATTCAACCCGGTCCGCAAGGAGACAACAAACACTGACAACAAAATCCTCTTCATACATAATCTAAATTCCATGCCAAAATATTCCTCTCAGCCCAATTTATCCTGATCCAGAGAGGGCCGATGTGATGTTGTCATGTGTTGCATAAATACAGACTCCCCTTATTTTCCATTTCACTCTCCTGATCCCTTTATTTTCTTGTAACAATGTCACAGTCTATCTATTGATTCCCATCATGACAGGTGGAAAAAGAGGCTGCTTTTGCCAAGCAGTCTGGTGGAGTGGAGGGGCTACTACACTGATTAACAGGAGAGCTCGTTGAGGGGCTGAGGACAGAGAAATTGTACCTTCTCCTCAGGTGGTCCGAGAGAGGAGAGGCCGAGGAGGGTGTTTGCATGTGTGTACCGGGCTCTAAATTACAAAATAATCATTGGTAGCGCGCTCCCAACTTTAAAAAGTTAGAAGCACAACATAAAATTTAGGAGCACCAGAAAATACGATTTAAAAAATCAATTGAGATATAGCTTATATGAATTTGAATTAGAAATATCCTATATGCTGTGCCCTAGAAACACATATGTAACTCTGTAAATACAGTTGTTTATTATAAAAAGCTAAAATGTTGATACAAATAACTGTCATTGAAATTAAAAAGTCATTTGTAGAATATGAGGTTTTTAACATTATGTAAAATAACTATTTTCCTATTGAGATGCATTACATTGCAAATTGTACACTGGCTTTTTAAGAGCGTCAAGTTTGTGATGATGACATGCAAGACATCTGTCATTCATTCATTGCTATGATCATTGATCTCCTGAAGAAGATATTCCTTTTCCTTTCTTTCTGTGCCCCCAAATGTTTGGATATACTGGTAAAATTACCAGGTTGTTAGCTAGCTAGCTAATGAGTTATCAAACATGACTGAACAAGGTGTAAAACCAATTAAGCCCACGAGTAGTTTTAGGACGGCCTGCGACATGGTTTATGAATGTAAAATACAGCCCCCCAATCTGTGACAGGAAGAAAAAAACATTGCTCTGGTAATATGGGTCTCAAATCTTTTGAAGTGTTTGTGCTAGAAACAAGCAGTTTTCGTTTTATTAATGGTGCAAGAATGATGCTAACGAATCTGCGCTCGGGAAACAACGGTAGTGCGAAGCCTTATCATTAAAACAATTATTATTTAAATAATAATTTAAAAAATATTTGATTTTCTTTGGGTCGCACTGGTGCTCCCAAATTAAAACTCCAGGTTGCACGGCAAAATATTTGGTTGCACTTTAAAGCCTTGTGTGTGTGTGTGTGTGTGTGTGTGTGTGTGTGTGTGTGTGTGTGTGTGTGTGTGTGTGTGTGTGTGTGTGTGTGTGTGTGTGTGTGTGTGTGTGTTGGCTATTGACACCGATAACACCAACCTAATGGTGTGGGTTACATACTCAACATGACAAAACAGGTCGGAGACAGTCTCCAATTGGCCTCTGGTGTCCCATGGGAAACTATACCCACTGAAGTTGCTTGTATTATACACCACAAATTAGTTTGAAAGTACCAGGTTTTGCCAAATAAATGCCACTGTTCCTGCTACTGCCACAGCATTTATCTTTGCAACTTTGGGTAGAAAACCAATAGCTATTGCTCATGATGAAAATAAATTGTGTGTCAAGCCAGTCCTGCATGAAAACAATTCAGTTTGTCCTTCTCTTAGCAACCTAATGCTTCAACCCAACTCTCCTTGAAAAGTTAACAAATGTCAGCTTTCTGAGAAGGTCAATTCTCATATGAAGACTTTTCCTACAAGCCCAAAACATTGATGGAGAAATGGGCTATTGACTAAAATGTTATGACAACCCTAGTGCTGAGAAATTGCTGTTATTTTCGGTTTTTAAACAACTAATTGACCAATGTCGGTTCAATAATTTTTTTGTGAGCTCAATGCACACATTTCTTAGTTAATGTAGAGATACAGTACCAGTCAAAAGTTTGGACACACATACTCATACAAGTGTTTTTCTTTATTTATACTATTTTCTACATTGTAGAATAATAGTGAAGACATCAAAACTACGAAATAACGCATATGGAATCATGTAGTAACTAAAAAAGTGTTAAACAAATCAAAATATATTTAATATTTGAGATTCTTCAAAGTAACCACCCTTTGCCTTGATGACAGCTTTGCACACTCTTGGCATTCTCTTAACCAGCTTCACCTGGAATGCTTTTCCAACAGTTTTGAAGGAGTTCCCACATATGCTGAGCACTTGTTGGCTGCTTTTCCTTCACTCTGCAGTCCGACTCATCACAAACCATCTCAATTGGGTTGAGGTCAGGGGATTGTGGAGGCCAGGTCATCTGATGCAGCACTCCATCGCTCTCCTTCTTGGTAAAATAGCCCTTACACAGCCTGGAGGTGTGTTGGGTGATTGTCCTGTTGAAAAACAAATGATAGTCCCACTAAGCCCAAACCAGATGGGATGGCGTATCACTGTAGAATGCTGTAGTAGCCATGCTGGTTACAGTGCCTTGCACTGTAATTCATCCCCCTTGGTGTTTTTCCTATTTTGTTGCATTACAACCTGTAATTTAAATTGATTTTTATTTGGATTTCATGTAATGGACATACACAAAATAGTCCAAATTGTTTCAACAAATTCTAATAAAGAAATAACGGAAAGGTGCTGCATGCATATGTATTCACCCCCTTTGCAATGAAGACCCTAAATAAGATCTGGTGCAACCAATAATTAGTCACATAATTAGTTAAATAAAGTCCACCTGTGTGCAATCTAAGTGTCACATGATCTCAGTATATATATACCTGTTCTGAAAGGCCCCAGAGTCTGCAACACCACAAAGCAAGGGGCACCAACAAGCAAGCGGCACCGTGAAGACCAAGGAGCTCTCCAAACAGGTCAGGGACAAAGTTGTGGAGATCAGGGTTGGGTTATAAAAAAATATCTGAAACTTTGAACATCCCACGGAGCACCATTACATATATTATTAAAAAATGGAAAGAATATGGCACAACAAACCTGCCAAGAGAGGGCCGCCCACCAAAACTCACGGACCAGGCAAGGAGGGCATTAATCAGAGAGGCAACAAAGAGACCAAAGATAACCCTGAAGGAGCTGCAAAGCTCCACATCGGAGATTGGAGTATCTGTCCATAGAACCACTTTAAGCCGTACACTCCACAGAGATGGGCTTTACGGGAGACTAGCCTGAAAAAAAGTTATTGCTTAAAGAAAGAAATAAGCAAACATGTTTAGTGTTTGCCAATAGGCATTTTGGAGACTCCCCAAACATGTGGAAGAAGGTACTCTGGTCAGATGAGACAAAAATTGAGCTTTTTGACCATCAAGGAAAATGCTATGTCTGTTCAAGGGAAGGTTCATGTTCCAGCAGGACAATGACCCTAAGCATACTGCTAAGGCAACACACGAGTGGTTTAAGGGGAAACATGTAAATGTCTTGGAATGGCCTAGTCAAAGCCCAGACCTCAATCCAATTGAGAATCTGTGGTATTGCTTAAAAATTGCTGTACACCAGCGGAACCCATCCAACTTGAAGGAGCTGGAGCAGTTTTGCCTTGAATAATGGGCAAAAATCCCAGTGGCTAGATGTGCCAAGCTTATAGAGACATACCCCAAGAGACTTGCAAATGTCATTGCTGCAGAAGGTGGATCTACAAAGTATTGACTTTGGGGGGGGGGGGGGGGTGAATAGTTATGCAAGCTCAAGTTTTCTGTTTTTTTTTTGTCTTATTTCTTGTTTGTTTCACCCCAAAAATATTTTGCATCTTCAAAGTGGTAGGCATGTTGTGTAAATCAAATTATACAAACCCCCCCTATTTCCTATTTTGTAAGGCAACAAAATAGGAAAAATGCCAAGGGTGGTGAATACATTCGCAA